ATGCATGCTATAGATGTGGAGGAAAATGGCACTGGTCACATACATGTCGTACGCCAAAGCACCTGGTTGAGTTGTATCAAGCCTCCCTAAAGAAGACAGAGAAAAATGCTGAAGCAAATTTTATTTCTGAAAATAATTTAGACTTCATGCATTTGGATGTAGCTGATTACTTTGCACTCCCAGAAGGAGAAACAAGTCATGCGATCGGTAGTGAATCTGTAGAAATGTAAATATTTTAATTTTGATTGTTTGTAGTAGATAGTATGGTTATGTAATTGTTGTACATAAATAAAAGTTATACTTTGATTATGATGTTTACTATAATATATTTTATTTATGCATTTTGAAGAATATGGATAATCCTCAAATTATGTTTGGATGAAAAGATCAATCATAAAGATATTTGTGTAATTGATAGTGGAACAACCCATGCCATATTCAAGGATCAGAAATACTTTTCTTATTTGCATAAGGAAAAAGCAAATGTTGCAATAATTTCTGGTAATATAAGTTTGATTGAAGGCTCCAGAAGAGCCATTATATTTCTGTCTAAGGGAACAAAACTTATTATCGACAATGCATTGTTCTCATCCAAGTCCCGAAGAAACTTGTTGAGTTTTATAGATATCCGCCGAAATGGGTATCATGTTGAGGCAATAGATGACATGAACGTGGAATATCTTTGTATTACAAAGAATATTTCTAGCCAGAAATGCATTGTAGAAAAGTTACCAATTTTATCTTCTGGCTTATACTATTCAAAAATTAGTACAGTTGAAGCACACTCTATCGCAAACCAGAAGTTTGCGGATTCAAATACTTTTGTGCCTTGGCATGGCCGTTTGGGCCATCCTGGATCAATAATGATGAGACGAATTACTGAAAATTCGAGTGGGCATCCATCAAAGAACCCGAGGATTCTTACAAATAATGAATTTTCTTGTGATGCTTGTTATCAAGGCAAAATGATCACTAGACCATCACCAATGAAGGTTGGCATTGAATCCCCTGCCTTTTTAGAACGTATACATAGGGATATATGTAGACCTATTCACCCACCAAGTGGGTTGTTTAAATATTTTATGGTCTTAATAGATGCGTCTTCAAGATGGTTTCATGTGTGCCTACTATCATCTCGCAACCTGGCATTTGGAAAGTTATTAGCCCAAATAATTCGATTAAGGAAACAATTCCCAGATTATCGTATAAAGGCTATTCACCTTGATAATGCTGGAGAATTCTCATCTCAAACTTTTGATGATTACTGTCTATCAGTTGGGATAAAAGTTGAACATCCTGTAGCTTATGTTCATACTCAAAATGGCCTTGCAGGGTCATTTATTAAACACCTGCAGTTGATAGCAAGACCACTACTTATGAAAATAAAATTGCCCACTACTGTTTGAGGCCATGCTATCTTGCACGCAACATCACTTATCCGTCTCAGACCGACACATTATAATAAATATTCTCCGTCACAATTAGTTTTTGGTCATGAACCAAATATTGCCTATCTACAAATTTTTGGATGTGTTGTATATATGCCAGTAGTACCACCACAACGTAGTAAGATGGGCCCGCAGAGAAGGTTAGGAATATATGTTGGGTTTGAATCACCCTCTATTATTCGCTATCTTGAACCATTGACGAGAGATTTATTTACTGCTCGATTTGTAGATTGTCGATTTGATGAAACACATTTCCCACAATTAGGGGGAGAGAAAAAGGAAATCAAAAGAGAAATTGTGTGAAAAGTTTCATCATTATCTCACTTTGATCCACGTACCCCTATATATAATCAGGAGGTCCAGAAGATCATCCATTTACAGAATATAGCAAATAAAATGCCAGACGTATTTACTGATTTGAAAAGGATAACTAAGTCACATATCCCTACAAAGAATGCGCCTATCCGAATTGATGTCCCAGAATGACCATCTACTAGTATGAGAGCTAGTGAACCTAAAGCACGCCTGAAGCGTGGTAGGCCTTTGGGTTCTAAGGATTGAAATCCTAGAAAAAGAAAATCGACAAATGATCGAAATGATATTTTGAAGGGATCTCTTGAAGAGACCCAAGATCTGATTAGTTCTGAGATTCCTGAAGAAATCAATGAACCCGAGACTCAAGTGAGTGAGGAACTTTAATAAGTTCTACTGATGATGTGATTAATCTAAATCGATCTATAATAGTGGTGGATAATATTTTTGCATATAATGTTGCACTTAACATTATGCAAGATAGTGAGAATCTTGAACCCCGATCCGTCGAAGAATGTCGACAAAGATCTCATTTGCCAAAATGGCAAGAGTCAATTCAATTGGAATTGAAGTCACTTGCTAAAAGAGAGGTCTTTGGACCAGTAGTCTAAACACCTGCTGGTATAAAGTCAGTTGGTCATAAATGAGTTTTTGTGCAAAAAAGGAATGATAAAATGAAGTTGAAAGATACAAGGCTCGCCTTGTTGCACAAGGTTTCTAACAACGACCTGGAGTCGATTATGAAGAAACATATTCACCCGTTATGGATGCCATAACATTTCGATATCTCATCAGTTTAGCTTTACGTGAAAGGCTTGAAATACATCTAATGGATGTGGTTACAACTTATTTATACGGGTCACTTGATAATGAAATTTACATGAAAATCTCTGAAGGATTTAAAATGCATGAAGCATATTCAAAATCTCGGGAAATGTACTCAATCAGATTACAAAGATCTTTGTACGGTTTAAAGCAATCTGGGCGCATGTGTTATAATCGCCTCAGTGAATATTT